CTCTTGCAGCTGGACTACAGACCCTTTCTCAGCCGGTTCTTCTCTTGGGGGAGGTTCGTAGATATACAGAGCTTCCTCCTCCTCCTCTTCAGCAAGGCTTGGGGGAACCTAAAGGAGCACCCCAAGAAGACTGCATGAGGTCCTGATGCTTCCCCAGGCCAGGGCTTCCAAACAGGTGCAGAGAAGCCAGGAAAAGAACCAAACAGAGGAAGGAGGGCAAATATCACAGGAGCAACTCCCAAGCACTTCCAGAGCCAATCTTCCCCACATGAGATTTGCCAGATGTGCTGGGACTACAATTCCCATCCCAGCTCAGCTGGAGAGAGTGGCGTGGTAGAGGGGAATGTCACTGAGAGGAGCGTAGAAGTGACCTTGGAGAAGGTATGAAAAACCACCCTTGAGTCTAACATCTCCGTTGTTAAGCAAGGCAATTCTTGAGTGAGATTTGCCCCGTTTTACAACCTTTTTGCCACCATCGTTAAACCAATCACCACCGTTGTTCAGCGAATCATGCAATCATTAAGCGAATATGGCTTTCCCTACCGATTTTGCTCGTTGGAAGCTAGCTGGGAAAGGGAGACAAACTGTGATCACACGACCTCAGGACAGCGCAACGGTCATAGATACACATCAGTTACCAGGTGCCCAAATTTTGATCACATGATCACGGGGAGGCTACAAAAGGCATTAAGTGTGAAAACCAGTCATAAGTCACTTTTTTCAGTGCCCTTGTAATTGAACAAATGGTTGTAAGTCAAGGATTAGCTGTAACCCTGAGTAAAACATGAGTATAGCCCAGGAAAGCAAGAAAGAGTGAGAAAGAAGCTTAACATTGCTCCACTTTGAGTCTCTTTGATATAAAAGGAAAGAAAGGGGAACTCGTATCAGGCTTTCTAGATTCTGTGATTCCAGTCTGTATCAATAGAGTTCTACCATTTTTGCTAGTGTCTATTTCCTAATCAGGTCTAGCCCAAAGATGGCATTCACACCAACCCTAATCCTCATTTTTAAATCAACCTACTTTATCCAATGCCTGCATAACCTATCCCATAAACATAGGCCTCAAGGAAACTCCACAACAACAGTAATCAAATGGGAAGCTAAGGAGCGACAAATAGGCAGCAGCCAACAACTTTTGCATCACTGCCAAGAAAGCTGTAAATATGTTAATATGTGTCTGTGTAGGTTTCAAGAGGCAAGCTCAACAGGTGAGTATATTTTAATGCTGGAAGGTTTGGGGAAAGTCTGTTTACTTACCACTTCTCCCTGGACATCTGAAACACACAAAAAGAGTTTGGGTCAATTGCATTAATTGCCCCAACTTGGGCACCACAATGAGTTCTTTCACTCTTCAAACTATAATGACTGTACCCCACCTTGTTATGCTGGTTTATGTCTGTGATACTGCTTGCCTTGATATACCCAGAACAGGTATGCCTGCCACTCTATTCAGCTAGGAAAAAAATATATCTGGAGCTTTTATGTGTTAAACATTAGCAAGCAGGAGAACAAAATTAGCTTAAAAACAGAACAAAAGGCAGACAAAAACAAGGAAAGAGGAAGCGTGAACAAAGCCAACAATTTGCATTATCTCTATATCTCTGTATCAAAAAGCACAGAACTTTCCAGAACTACTGAAAACAATTCCGAAGTAATCTGCCTGGAAAGTCTCAAAGGGTGCATGCAGCAGAAGAGAGACAGAACACAAGGTGATATCTCCACTATTAAAGTCAGGGGCAAAAGACCAGGTCTACGTGTGAAAGTCCAATTAAACTGATTTATTGCTAATCATGTCTGCACACAAAAATCTTTTCAACTAACAGTCACCATCTGCTTGGATGCAGGGTCCATGGAATTCAAAGGAAGTCGGACTTAGCTCTTTGTGACTATGTAAGGATTCTAGGCTGATCCCTCCTAGTCTGGCGGGGTCACTTAAGAGAAATTCTGCAATTTTGTTGACTGGGATTCAAGTCCACTTTTAGAAGGTCTCCGTAAGTGGTTAATGAATGATGTGCTCTTTTCTGTAGGCTGAGGAAGACGCCAAGTACAGTCCTTGATAAGGAAGTTGAACTTTCAGTATTAAAAACCACAGGATCATTCCAATGGGATGGAACGTGTAACCTACCTGGTCTCTTTGGAGGTTCTGGTGGAAGTTCAGACCTTTAAGGACCACAGACAAAGATGGTGAATCTAGAGCCTTCCTGAAAGGTTCCTATTTCCTATGTTCATCACCAAAAATAGTTTGCAAGCTTACTACCATCTCATTCTCTTGCCAGAGCAAAGAAAACCTGTCAATTAACTTGTGTTGTATTTTATTGGGTCAATTTATATCTGCAAGAGCTCAAGGTGGCATGTATGACCCCTCCTCCTCCCTTGCCCCATTGGTCTCCAACCCGAAGCCATGCTCACCTGGCTTCCATAAAATTTTAGAACATTTCTAAAAATCTACGCATAGACAGAATATGAAGAACACTAGATGGCAACCAGCATCATCTTTCACAATAGCTTAACGGTCACAGAAGACCAAAAATGCAGTTATGGAACCTTCTTATAATAGAACTGGACGTAGAATTAGAATAGATTGGACACAGAAGGAATAGAATTTCTTGTGTGTCCAATCACACTTGGCCAATGAAGAACATAAAGAAAGAATATTCTATAAATAAAACAAATCAATAACTGGAATTAAGGCACATCCTGCCTCACAAGGTAAAAATCAGTGATCAGTGATTTTGAACAAGACCTTCTAAGATACCCTGCTCTTTCTTCTATCTCTTCTTTCTCCCTTTTTAGACCTAATGTCTACCGTTTATTCAATGTATTTCCTGATCTGACTTTATGCCATAAAATTCCATAGAGATTGTTACTCACGGAGCCTTACTCTTCCCAAATATATTCTGTAGAGAGAAAGAGAAATCAGAATGAAAATGTCATCAACATCTTCCTCTCCCAATCATTGATGGGGCCGCATACCAAACTTTAGTAGCATTGACAGTTTGAAGATAAGTGGAGCTAATTCAAACAAGTTCCCAACTGTTCTTTTGTACACCCAGGTGTTTCCAAATATGCAGAAGTATATGAAACTGTAAAGGGATCGGAAAAGCACACATGTATGTAAAAATGGCCAACTTAATTACAATAGGTATCATGCCAATTTCAGATTATAGGAGGACGGCCAGGGTACAGGTGTAGTGGTTGTAGAAAAGATATTTTTAAAAAACATATAGCTTAGTTATTACTTGGTGTCCCTGTTTATAAATCAGAATGCTTGAGTTTGTGCAACACTATCTTTGAGCAGTGTCAATTTGGTCATTGGACCCCTTCTGTACAAACAATACCAAGGTGTCCAGAAAATGAAAACTTCCAGAAGACACGAGTTGGTGATGTACTTGGTTGATCAGGAAAAGTTCCCAATCAGGGCTGCAAAAGTCTAGACAGCCGCAGGATGAGAGGAATGGGACTTCAGATATCTCAACATTTGCCAGATTTGATTGAATGCATTGTGTGAACCTAATTATGGGGACTTTTCTCAGCATGATGGCCACTAAAGTCCCACCACAATACAGATCAAGATTCATTCTCACATCAAGAGGCAGCTAGTGAGCTGGACTTAATTAGAGGGATCTTCCCCACAAGAAAGTCCTTGTGCTATTCCACAAGCATTCTCTGTTTCCCTTAGGAGTCTTTCCTACCCATCATCCTCAACCCTTCCCCCCCAAAATAACAGCACGATCTCTTACCATGCTGAAGCAAAGCAGGTCCTCCGTGCCCAGTTGAATCTCCTGCACTGGAGAGACAGGACTTTGTTTGCCCATTTGCATAGATATTGTGCAGGTATCGGAAAGGGGAGGTGAGAAAGGGAGATGGCTTCAGCTAATGGGTATGGCAGGACTGGGATGTTGCAAAGGTGCTTTTTGAAAAGGCAAGTGGACCTTTTTTTTCTGTTCTGCCTCGAAGATGTTTCGCTTCTCATTCAAGAAGCTTCATTGGCTCTGACAGAAAGATGGAGGAGATGGAAGGCTTAGTTCTGACAGGATAGGAATGTTAAAACTCTGGGAAAAAAGTGCCAAGAGGAGCAGCTTCACAAATTAAACCAAGATAGCCAAGTTATTGTTTAGTGAGATGTACAAGCTCATCTTGGCGCCGTTGTAATGTCAGTGCCAGTACTGCCATATTGCTTCGCCCCATCTCTGCTTCGTGTCATGTGTCTGAAAGGTGTGTAGCCGGTGCTGCTGTGCACAGAATTATTGTACGCCACCTCCGCAAAAGGGAGATCAGTCCAGTTCGTCTGTTGGTAAGAAACGTAGCACCTAAGATATTGCTCCACCATTTTGTTAGCGGCTTCCGCGGCCCCATGGGTGGCCGGATGAAAAGCAGATGATAAACCTTGAGATGATCCAATTAATGTAAGGAAAGTTCTCCAAAACTTCGCTGTGAACTGCACCCCCCCTGTCCGAAATTATCCGCTTAGGGGCGCCATGCAGCCGGTAGATATGTTTCAGGAACAATTTGGTCAGTCGTTGGGCAGATGGGAGCCCTTTGCAGGCGAAGCGTTGACGACACTTCGCTGATGCCAGACTGCCATGAGCCCCGAAGGAGGGAGGGGGAGCCAAAACATGGGGGGGGGGGGGAAAGACCAGAAACCGAATCGGCTGGCTGACCCCAAGGCTACAAGTGTGGGAATGGAACGCAGATCGTCACCGAACGTGCCAAGAATCAGAACTGTTACCAAAACAATTTGTTTGAATCCCATTGGACACTAAACGGATAATGGGGGGGGGAAGAGGGTCTGGGAAAGTAAGTAGCCCGTTTTCACACGCAAATGTCAGATCTGGTTTTTCCTATCTTGTAACCATTTGGCTTTAGTAAAAGTATACCTTTCACTCCGAATGCACTCAAAGGCTCTTCTCTTCTAAACGGCCAGTTGGGACAAGCCCAACGGTCAGGAGTCTCCATATCAGGGACGACACAAAAATGCAAGACCAGCTTTTCTAATGAGAAAAATGCTTTATTCCAATTTTTTTTTTCACAGTATGAAGACACAAAGCAACTGCAATAATCCCCAGGGACTACACAAGAGGACCTGGTAAAAGTGTCCAACTAGGCACCATGATCGCTGGAGGGATGCACAGAGCCTCCCAAGATCTCAGCCAGAACGAGAAAGGAAGGCGATGATCACGGAGGTAAACCACCCTGTATTAATTCGTTCTGTGTTAATCAATGGCTAAACGGAAAGAATTCTCCCCACCCCTCATCTAACCAGAGCAGAGGACGGTGGGGTATGTAGTCACAAAGATGACAGTTGCCGCAGGATGCTGTAGTCCAAGAACATTCAGAGAGCCTCAAATTGAGAAGGTCAGCATTGGCTGGGTCAGATATGTTCTTCACTCTGAAGTGAGACCTCATTGCCCACTGCCTGGCCAAACGGAGACAAGATAAGCAATGAAAGGAGACAAGGCACTAGAATTTCACAGGGTGTCTTTTAGAGTTGTTACACCAACCTTGTGCAACCTTGGCCACTTGTGGACTTCACCTCCCAGAATAACAAGCTTGGACACTCTTGGGTGACAGCGTTTGCTCTTCACCCATATTTTTCCCTTTCTGCTTTACCCCAATACTATTCCGGCACAACAAATTCCAAACTTGGGGTTCAAGACCGAGCAATCCTAAATTAAAAGGCAGCGCCAGGTTGGCTTCTGTTGGGAGACAGAAGGAAGCCAGGCCACAAAATCACAAGGAAAGGGAGAGGTGTCTTGGGTTCTTGGTCCTCAAACCCTCAGGAACGGCAGCTGACACCGGAACAAGCTTGCAATTGTATCAGCTTCTGGTTCATCTGCACAAGCAGCGAAGGGTCCACGGTCTTGGCTACATTAGAAAGCTGATGGGGGTCTGCAGTCAGATTGTAGACTTCCACAAAATTCTGCAAGAAAAAAAGTAGGATGTGCAGTGATGGTCAGGAGGCAACCTCTCCGAAAGGAAATCCTGGAGAAGCCAACATCCATCAACACAGTCTTCTTCTTACAAGGTGGTCCCCAACTGCCTTCATACCTGGAAAAAGACTCCATCCACTTGGCAGAACCAACCTGGGAGAATCACCCTTTGAACCTCTTGAAGTCACCATAAAAACAAGACTCGTCTCTTTGAAGGTCTCTCACCCCTGCCCACCTCCCTAATCAGGTCTTTTGTGACTGTTCACTTCAGGATAAGACTGGTCTTTTTTTACTGATCCATGAACCATTTGGGGAACATTTCTGGCTGATGGGTGAGTAGGGCACAAACATAATATACCAGTTTGTGGACTTGCAAATAGGATAGGAGTTTTGAAGGCATCTTTCTCTGTGCTTTGTGCTATTTGCCTGTCCGCAGAAATAGCTTCCTTTGTTATATCTGGCCAAACTCATTTTCCAGAAGGCAAACTGGGAACACCGCATCCCACTACACTCTTTTCTGCTCTCTACAGCTGTCCTTCCATCAACACTTTGCTGAACTCTGTCTATTTTTCTAGAGAAATACAGGCAGTCCTTGACCATCGTTGTTAAGTGGATCACTGCAGCTGTTAAGTTAGCAATGCGGTTGTTAAGTGAATCTGGCTTCCCCCATTGAGTTTGCTTGTCAGGTCACAAAAGGGAATCACACAACCCCGGGACACTGCAACCGTCACAAATACAAGTCAGTTGCCAAGCATCTGAATTTTGAACACATGTCCACGGGGATCCTGCAATGGTTGTAACTGTGAAAACTAGTCCTAAGTCACTTTTTTCAGTGCCATTGTAGCTGTCACTAAATGGAACTATTGTAAGTTGAGGACTACCTGTAAATGGGGAAGCCAGCATGGAAGGTCACCATCACATGGTGTCTTGCTTACCAACCGCACTGCTTAATCACAAATTTTCCAGTCCCAATTGTGGTAGTAAGCCGAGGACTGCCTGTGTGCCCCAGAGCAGAGGTCCCCAACCTTTTGGGCACCAGGGACTGGTTCCGTGGAGAGTGGTTTTTCTGCGGACTGGGGAATACATGGTTTTGTGTGCTGCCTGCATCCCGTGGATGGGGCTTTGCTTGTTTACGTAGCCCGGTTTCTGGCATGCTGCAGCTTGGTGCCGGTCCACGGCCCGGGGGTTGGGGACCCTTGCCCCAGAGGACCTGCCTGACAGACTTTGCTAACAAACACAATCCTAATGGAAAGGTATTTTCCTGATGCCAGAAGCTCTGCGCATTACATGATCATTCTTGAAGGCCACGGACCCAGCTCTTTGGACCTCTTGACACTAGAGAAGACAACCATGCTGCTTACCTCTTTATCGGCAAATTCACAGTATTGCATGTTCGCAGCACTCAAAGTTCGCACACAGGCATATGTGTTGTTGTAGGCATCCTCACACACGCAGTCAGGGAAACATTGCTGCGCAAAATAGAGTTGGAAAACCATTCGTGAACCGAACATCTAACCAAGAACTTGCATTCTTCTGCCAAGAACAGACCCGGCTGGTGAGCTGACAGAAACGTCTTTGGACAGCGCTGGCTGGAGGGCCTTGAAACAGAGATGAGCACACCCCCCCCTATAGTTGGCAACAACTAGCGGAGTAAAATCTGAACCTTTCCATTGATCTAATCAACTGATATAGCTGCTCATTTTTCAACAGCAACTCTTAACTGGCTTATACAGAATGAAAGACACAAATAAAGTTGATCTACAGCACATATAAATAACAGCAACCGAGAATAATAGCAACTATCAATAATAGCACAATCATCTCACGGGCCCAATTAACCTCCAAGCTCCCATAAGAGGGAAAGGAGAAAATTCATTCCCTTCTCCAACCCTTTACAGGACATCCATTTCATTGTCCTCCATCACAGCGACTCTCCTACTCCTGCTCTTACATGGCAGACTAGGTGCCCGGGGGGGAGACCATGCCAACCCAGGCTTGTGAGAATGCAGGAAAGCCTCTCTCTCAACAGCGTTTTAGGCCCCTGTCAGCTGCCACCTTATGCTTGCTTGTGCTTCGCCTTTATGCCGCGACGGTCTGCCCTGAACTGTGGGGAGGGGAAATGAAGGGAGGGGGATGCTTGGGGGGGAAACGAAGACGGAGATGCCACTCCAAGGTCACCCAGCTGGAAGAAGGGAGCTGCATACCAACCTGGATTCAAACTGAGCGTTATGGAACCATCCTGCAGGAACTTGATCGGTGGGCAGCGAAAGGCAGACGAAGGTGGGGGCTAGACTTAGTGATTTGGGCACGCGAATCTCCGTTTGGGCTTCGCGTTACTGCAATACCCCTGACTTCTACTAAACTGGATCTTTCTCAACAAATGGAGCCAAGGATCGTTCTTATGTAGAGGTTCAAGCTGTTGCAGGTCGGACAGCCTGAGTAGGGCTGTAGGAAAATGATGGGGAGGGCTAAGCAAAGAGCTGCTTTGTTTAGGCAAATGTGCCAGCCTGGTCTGGAACAGAAATGCCATTCCTGAACGGAATTGCTTGTGGGAAGGCGAAAGAGCCCGTTTCTCGGAAGTCAAAGGAGACAATGTTCATTTGTTAGACCTTTCTCCCATCCTTCCTCCATGATTTTGCTCTGCTAAGCACCTAAGTAATAGGTTGGTCCTTATGGGAACAGAGCATCAACACAGACAGGGGTGCAATTAGGGTTTTTCTAAGATCTGTCCTCTTTCTCATAGAGAGGGGAATGACTTTTTTAAAAGACTGATCACATTCTACTACCCAGAGCTTTCGCATCCCAACTCCCATAATCTCCTGCCATTGGCCATGCCGGCTAGATGGGTAGGGGAACTTTTAGTTTTCTACAGAACAGCCTACCATTTTTGTTGGGGACTTCTGCAGCTACTTATTAAACCAGAACTACGCATTGTCTCCTCTTCCTAGAAATGTTTTCTTTACATGCAAAACAAATGGAAATTTAGCCAGCTAAAATGACCTAGATAAAAGCAAGCAGGGTTGAGTGGTTTTCAGAACTAAAATAAATACTTGCAAACGAGGGAGCTGCCGTCTGAGCATGTGTCACGGGTGTAAATAGCAGACTCAACGTTTTGTAATGAACTATGGACTAATATGTGAAAATTAGAGAAGTACGGTCACTTACGGACACTCCTGGTCCCAAGACCGGACACTCGGGGTCCTTAGTTGTGTAGCCTTCTCCAGTATATTGAACCAGGAAGTCTGACCGCCACCTAGATTTCTGTGTCTTGTTCACCTGCACGAAAGGAGACACATTTCAGGAAGCAGACGTGAATAGAAAACTCTCTCTCTTTTTCTGTTAACGATTTCTAAATGTATTTTAGACACTTCCTTTGGTGCCCTGTCAGGCTTCCTTGCCCACCTAACCTAATGGAGGAAAGATTACAAGATTCTTTAATAAACTAATTTCATAAACTAATTAAGTGGAAACTGCCATGCTATCCAGGAAATTCCAACCAACCTCTTGCTGGACAATCCAGAAAAGTCCCAATGAAGAGTCTCCTCAGAGGCTAATTTGCCTGCTGGTAAATGGTGTGAATGAATAGTGGTTACAGTCTCAGGCTAAAAACTAGAAGGCTGTGAGTTCTAGTCCTGCCTCAGGCACAAAGTCAGCTAGGTGACCTTGGGCCAGTTTCTTTATTTCTCTCTTTCTTGTTTTTCTTTCTTTTTCTTTCTTTCTTTCCTTTCTTTCCCTCTTTCTTTCTTCCCCTCCCTTTTTCTTTCTTTCTTTCTCTTTCTTTCTTTTTCTTTCTTTCTTTCTTTCTTTCTTTCTCTTTCTCTCTCTCTCTCTTTCTTCCCCTCCCTCCCTCCTTCATTTTCTTTCTTTTTTTATCCTATTCCAATTTTTTTCCAGTCATTGTATGTTTAAAATACTTGGAAGAATATTTGGAAGTTATGGAAATGGTACAGTGGTCTCTACCCATGCAGGACCCCCAAGATTTATTTGAATTTCTTAGAGATCTGCTTAAACCCCATGAATCTCAGGTTCACATTCTGTGGTGTGATCCCGCAACACATCAAAGTTCCACATGCAGGTTCTGAGCAAAACCCTCCTTGGTAAACACTGCAAATGTTGAAATAAAATCCCTCCTCTGTTCCTGCTTCTAACTGGACTCTCCCATCGGACTCTATTCCAAAGTTCAAGGCAACTTATTACCAAGAGGGACAAAAAGGAGACACCATCCATGCTGGTCTGAGAGGCATTGATTCCTGCAATGTCCAAGAAAGTCGGTCCCAGGTCGATATTCAGGATGGGTTCCTGAGAAGAGAAGACAGGAGATGTTTTGAAAGGAACTCAGGACAACAGTTCCCTAACCAACAAGTCCCATCCTCACAGGATCACAAACTCTGTAGGAAGTGAACACAGGTAATCCTTGACGTACAACAGCTCATTTAGTGACCATTTGAAGTTACAACGGCACTGAAAAAGTGGTTTTCATACTTATGACCATTGCAGCACCCCCACGGTCACATGATCAAACTCCAGACGCTTGGCAACTGACTCCTATTTATGACGGTCGCAGTGTCCCGAGGTGTGGGGGCAGCACCGTTTATCTCAATATACTTTTCTGCCCACTTAAGGACAAGAGGACAACACATTTAAGCAGCTGTTTGGATGACCCCTGAGAGAATTGTGAAGCTTCCACAAAACTGTGCTCGCTATTTAAATGTCTGTGGCACGAAAGGGCAAAGTAGTAGCAATGCCACAGTAAAGGGGATTGAAATTAATAAATTAATTCTGGGAACTGCCGATGGCAGAGGAAAGTTTCAAAGTACTAAGAGGATTCTGGGAGTTGAAGTCCACCAGTCATAAAAGGGCCAGGTTTGAAGACCCGTGCTCTGGAACAAGTAAACCTACCAGGTACGTTTGATTTCCTTTAACACCTGGGCCTCGCACCAGCAACGGCACCCGGATATCAAACTCGTAAAGTTGCCGTTTGTCAATGGGCAGTGAGAATTGTCCTGCAGAAACCCCCCACAAAGACAGCAGAATAGACAGAAAGGGGGAGAAAACAAACATGGATGATTTAGCAAGCGCAAATATTCAGTTTGGAGATCTGATTCCAAGGCAATTCAATCCAATCTCCGAAGCGAATTTCCAGATCAGACTGAGACAACAAATGGTCAAATTGGTCCAGACAACTCACAAAAGGAAAGATTGGACAATCATTTGTCCGGGATGTGTAAGGGCTCCTGTAGTTAATGGCTTATTATTAAATCTAGTTTTGAATGTTGCTGCCTATATTCAGAACACTGATTTCTGATGGAATGATTATAGATTCCCAATATTATCTGTGGGCCTTTTTAAACAATTCCCTATCACTCTGCTTCTACTCACCTGTGTGGTAACCATGATCTGAGGTGTAGAACACGTATGTGCTGTCCAGCAATTTAAGGGATTTCAACTGATCCATCACTTTCTGTACCATATCGTCTACTGACAACAGAGTTTGCCACCTGTAGATAAGAGAGAAACGATGGGTTGTATAAACAGAGGCATAGAATCAAAATACATGAAGTATTAATATCGCTTTATAAATCCTTAGTAAGACCACACCTGGAATTCTGCATCCAGTTTTGGTCACCACATAAAGATGTTGAGACTTTGGAAAAAATGCGGACAAGAGCAACTAAGATGATTAAAGGCCTGGAGGCTAAAACACATGAAGACA